CTTAACTGGGTGTGGTAAGCCAACTATCTTCAGGTACAGAAAATTTCTTTAATCACAACAGCAAAAATACACAAAAATACATCATTCCTATAATACTGAATAATTATAATAATTGGCTTAACTGGGTGTGGTAAGCCAACTATCTCCAGGTACAGAAAATGTCTTTATTCACAACAGCAAAAATACACAAAAATACATCATTCCTATAATACTGAACAGAACCTCCACATTCAACCTATCCCCAGATGGCTTGGATCTGTGCGCTCAATATATTCAAACAGCACTCAGATCCCACAAACACAGTCAAATCGCCATGGGGTTTAAGTCTAGCATGGGCTGATGAGAGGGTCCATAGTCACGAGGCAGGAGGCTGGCAATCAGGCTTCTCCATAACCCAGTGGCGAGGTTAGTTTCGCCACAGGCCTTATTTAAAAAAACATTTAGTTCTCAAATATGAAAAGATTTTGTTATTTGATAAATGTAATTTAGCCTTGATTTCAACAAAGGGAAGTAGTTGGTCTGATTGGAAAATGCCATTAATACTCAATACCTCTTTGGGCCAATTAATAAAGGATATATCTTGCATATTATTACATGATTTTAATACTTTATGAGAAAGTTTTAATCTTTTTTTCAATGTATCCCAAGCTTGAATAGTTTGTGCTAATATTAAGGATTTAGTAATTAAGTAATCTGTAAATTTCTTACCTCTATTAAGCCATCGTTCAAATCCAAATGCGTTGGATTCTATTATTTACCACATCTCTTCTTTATAAATATCAACTTGTAACTTGTAAACATGTACCTATAATATTAGAAAAATAACAGTTTCTTATATCAGAATAATTATACCCTTTTGATGGAATTTCATCGTGAGAACTTTGGCACTTATTCTCGTTTTTTTACTTTTTCATATAAATCATTGGAAACTAGATTGAATCATAGTTAACCAAATGTCAGGTATATGAAGGGGTAGCATTCTAAACAAATATGACCATTTTGGTATAATGTAAGCATTAATTGTGTTGATCCTGTCAGAACAAGACGATTCTATTGATTGCCATTCTTTTAGCTTTATGTTGGTATATTTTAAGAGATTTAAGATGTTTATTTTCATAGTGTTTTGGATCTGATTTGGAATTATAACTCCCAGATAGCTGAAATCATTCTCTGATCATATCAAGTTGTATTTATCTTTAACCCCTTAAGGACACATGACATGTGTGACATGTCATGATTCCCTTTTATTCCAGAAGTTTGGTCCTTAAAGTGATAACGGATCACTATAGGGTCAGGAACACAAACATGTATTCCTGACCCTATAGTGTTACCACTACCATCTAGGCCCCATGGGCCCCTCATGCCTCCATAAATATAGTAAAAATCGTACTGTATTCAAGCCAGAAGCTGTAACTCTGCATGCTGTTAGACTCGGAAAAACAAGCAGTCTGCTGACATGTGGTAGCCTGATCCAATCACAGTGCTTCCCCATAAGATTGGTTGAGACTGACAAGGAGGCAGATCAGAGGCAGAGCCAGCATGATTCAAACACAGCCATGGCCAATCAGCATCTCCTCATAGAGATGAATTGAATCAATTAATCTCTATGAGGAAAGTTCAGTGTCTGCATGCAGAGGGAGGAGATACTGAATGTTTGGAAGCATTTTAGGCAGTCATTCATTCAGCTCTTTCCATTATATCCAGAATTTTTCTTGTACAACTATCCAAGGATCTTCCCAGAATAAAACCAACCTGGTCCAGATGAATAACTTTCAATAACTGACTTGAGTCTATAAGCTAAAATTGAGGTATATATTTTGTTTTCTATATTTATTAATGAAATTGGTCTGTAGTTACTAACATCACTTTTGTTTTTATTAGGTTTTAGTTTTGGTAGTTTGTTAGCTTGTAATAAATCTTTCAGAGTTTTAACCAAAAAAGACATTTCACTTTAAAGATCAGTTAGAGGACACACTATTTCTTTTTTCATAATATTATAGAAATAGTTACTATAACCATCCGGGCCAGGAGTTTTATATAATTCTAGTCTGTCAATCTCTCTTTCTACTTCGTTGGGTGTAAACTCAACATTTAAAATATTAAGATGGGTAGTTGAAATTTTTGGAATAATAGTTTTGGATAGATAGTTATTGATTTTTGTAGTATCCGAAATTATTACTAAACTATATAAATTGCTGTAAAAGTTATTAAATATCTGACCAATTTTATCTGAAGAAGAATAAATCGTTTGACCATCCAATAATTTGTTTACTCTATTTTTCGCGTTGTTTCTCTAATTTTTTAGTTAGATTTTTATTAGCCCTATTACCCTGAGAGTAGGTATTTAGTCTTAATTTATTAATAGTTCTTTTAATCTTTTCCTCCTTTTATCCAATTTATAATCAAAGTCACCAGCAATTAATAAAGTGCCTTTTGCGATTTGAGTAATGCAGTCGGATTAATGTTTGGTATATAAACATTAACAAGGATGTATAACAGATCTTCAATATTGCAGACTATTATTAAATATCTGCCCAATGGGTCTCTATCTTGAAATAATATCTCATGTTTTAAGTTAGAATCAAAGATAATCTCAACCACTCATTTTTTTTTTTACTAAGTGATGATGAAAAATATGCTTACATTTGTTACAACCCAATTTTTGAATTTCTGAAGTAATCCAATGAGTTTTTTGGATAAAACCTATTTGGATCCCATTATTTAATAAAGTATCGTAAAACATCAGTTTTTTTTCAGCATGAATTCAAATCTTGCACATTTACAGACATAAATCTCAGCATAACAAAGAAAATTCAGAATATGGCTGTATAAATCTACAAGAAAGACATAAAACAAAACATAGTGTGATATTGTTATAAAACACAGTATTCTGTGCGCAGCAATCTTTTTCACTCCCAAGATGTAGACAGTATAAGCGGCCATAGGGTGCCTCCCCCAATATGATGGGGGGCTAGCTGGTACTTCTTATCACCTCTGGATCCCTATTCCACCAAAATACATCCACAGGTCAGGGTTAAATAATAAAAAAAATGTATTCAATAAAACAGTAGTCACCAATTCAGCATAGGATATGAGTAGCAAAAAAATAGTCCTACACGTTTCGTTCTAGATGAACTTCCTCAGGGACACACAATTAAAACAATAACAATGTATCAATACACAATATAAAAATAAACATATCCTAAAGAAACCCCCTCCCTGTGTCCTTAAATAGGGCTAATCCCTAGAGTCCATTGGTGGATCCAGTGGGTGTACAAATCCTCCTTGTTCTTGATTGGAGGGATAATCTTCTTGTATCAGCTGTCCTTCGGTTTCCCAATATGTGTGGGTTGTAATTCGCGCCCTTTTTTGGCAGATACCGGAAGTGATCATTTCTGCCGAAACCGGAAGTGACGTCAAAGGAGCGTCTGCGCTCCACATGTGTTCCATCAATAACATCTCTATGGCAACTGGACGTAATCATCTTATCCAGAGATCGTATGAGTCAGAAAGAACTAATTAAAGCCCCACATTCTACTAAAGAGAAAGTGTTAACCATACATAATATTTAAACACCCTCATAAATTATCTGTACGAATACAAAATGTTATTCTTATTTATTATCAATCAAATCACATAAATAGTGTTAGTTTCTACATATAAATAAGTAATTATAATGCCTCAGTGTATAATCATCAAAATAATAACCAAAAAAATCTACATAATATAAAGTGATCATGTGCTATAATGGTTATATAAAGTGACTATATATATATATATATATATATATATATATATATATATATATTTATTTTTTTTTGTAAATAAAACTTTATGAAAAAAACAAACAATAAATAAACACCATATTTACTCCATTATATATCACCCTATATGCACAGTGACAAACTGTAAAATTATTTAAAATCACTATTCAGTGTATCTACCGCATTCCATTTATCCTCTCTTTATAAATCTTTAGAGTAAACGTATTTAGCTCCTTAAGGTAATCCATTATTATGGTTAACCAATGAAAGAATGGTGGATAATATGACAAATAACTACTTCTCATACAATCTCCTTTAGGTATATCTAGCAGCACTCACCTATCCACTAAACAGCAACTTCAATGTTGAAAGATTTTATTTGTTTTTTTTAAAACACCTAATCTAGGCAAAAATAATGGGGGCTTAGTTACATTATATGATCATACATTGCATAAGCCTGCCACAACGTCAATGTACCCCATCTTTGGCAGGTCCTACACCAACAGCCTAATGTCTGCTCTTATGAGATTAACCACTTACTTGAGGAAAAAAATTTCATCTGGGGCTCTCTGCAGTACAAGGCTAAATAGGGCCCTGGGATGAGGCACCTGTGACAGGGAGGGGTGCAAAACCAGGGAGTTGGCTAGACTCCCAAATATATACATATGAAATAAGGGGGGGTTGGCTGCACTCACCTGAACATGCATAAATGGGGGTGCTGCTGGGGGCCAAATAATACAAAACACAAGATCCAGCGCACTCACCTATCCACTAAACAGCAAGTTCAATGTTGAAAGATTTTATTAGTTTTTTAAAAACACCTAATCTAGGCAAAAATAATGGGGTTTAGTTACATTATATGATCATACATTGCATAAGCCTGCCACAACGTCAATGTACCCCATCTTTGGCAGGTCCTACACTAACAGCCTAATGTCTGCTCTTATGAGATTAACCACTTACTTGAGGAAAAAAAATTCATCTGGGGCTCTCTGCAGTACAAGGCTAAATAGGGCCCTGGGATGAGGCACCTGTGACAGGGAGGGGTGCAAAACCAAGGAGTTGGCTAGACTCCCAAATATATACATATGAAACAAAGGGGGGTTGGCTGCACTCACCTAAACATGCATAAATGGGGGTGCTGCTGGGGGCCAAATAATACAAAACACAAGATCCAGCGCACTCACCTATCCACTAAACAGCAACTTCAATGTTGAAAGATTTTATTAGTTATTTTAAAAACACCTAATCTAGGCAAAAATAATGGGGGTTTATTTTTAATGTAACTAAACCCCCATTATTTTTGCCTAGATTAGGTGTTTTTAAAATAACTAATAAAATCGATCTGACAAATCTCTCTCTCTAATTTCTTTCCGTTATATCCTCTATCCATAAGTTTCTTTTTAACATGTAGCGATTGGACATAAAAATCCTGTTTATCTGAACAATTCCGTCTAAGACGGGTAAACTGAGCCAGGGTTCATGAAGACCACTCTTGTAGTGAACAAACCCATTGCCATCAGTGGGTTTAAAAAAGCATTTACTCCTAACCTGTCCCAAATCATGGGATAGAGAGAGGTCAAGAAAATTGATTAGACCCCTTCCAAATAATGATAACGTTGTCAATATAACGCCGCCATAGGACCAAGTTCGCCCCCCAAGTCATGCCCAGACTGGAAGGCGTCTTCTGTTTTGTTTCAGGAATATGTTAATTTTCTGAATGATAATGAGTACCATTTGGTGTTTACTCCCATCTGGAATAAAGATGAGATCAATTTTCTTGACCTCTCTCTATCCCATGATTTGGGACAGGTTAGGAGTAAATGCTTTTTTAAACCCACTGATGGCATTATAATAATAATTACTTATTTATATGTAGAAACTAACACTATTTATGTGATTTGATTGATAATAAATAAGAATAACATTTTGTATACATACTGATAATTTATGAGGGTTTTTAAATATTATGTATGGTTAACACTTTCTCTTTAGTAGAATGTGGGGCTTTACTTAGTTCTTCCTGACTCATACGATTTCTGGATGAGATGATTACGTCCAGTTGCCATAGAGATGTTATTGATGGAACGCATGTGGAACGCAGACGCTCCCGTGACATCACTTCTGGTTTCGGCAGAAATGATCACTTCCGGTATCTGCCGAAAAAGGCGCGAATTACAACCCACACAAATTGGAATACCGCAGGACAGCTGATACAAGAAGATTATCCCTCCAATCAAGAACAAGGAGGATTTGTATACCCACTGGATCCACCAATGAACTTTAAGAACACAGGGAGGGGGTTTCTTTAGGATTTGTTTATTTTTATATTGTGTATTAATACATTGTTATTGTTTTAATCGTGGTCCCTGAGGAAGTTCATATAGAATGAAATCCATAGGACTATTTTTTTGCTACTCATATCCTATGCTGAATTGGTGACTACTGTTTTATTGAATAAATTTTTTTTATTATTTAACCCTGACCTGTGGATGTGTTTTGGTGGAATAAGGATCCAGAGGTGATGAGAAGTACCAGCTAGCCCCCCATCATATCGGGGGAGGCACCCTATGACCACTTATACTGTCTACATCTTGTGAGTGAAAAAGATTGCTGCGCACAGAATACTGTGTTTTATAACAATATCACACTATGTTTTGTTTTATGTCTTTCTTGTAGATTTATACAGCCATATCCCGAATTTTCTTTGTTGTGGTTTACCATATATGAAATAGGTCGTTTGTTGGGTAGCGACCTAGGGAGGCTGTTATACGTTTGTATAAGCTAAGTATTATTACTTATTATATTATTCTATTTATTGTTTAAGATATATTTTTTAGCAATAAATCTCAGCATACTCTTATAAATTAATATGGACTGATTCTAACTTTATACTCCCCTCTAAACCATTAATAGTAGATAAACTTGAACTGGATAAAACCTATTTGGATCCCATTGTTTACTAAAATATCATAGAATATTTTTTTTTTCCAACATAAGTTCAAACCTTGTACATTAACAGACATATATTTCAGCATTCCCTTATAAATTGGTAAGGGCTGATTCCATTCTTATATCTCTCCTTTAAACCGTTTATAGTAGATGAAGTTGAGCTGATCATACCAATACACACGGGTGTCCGCAGACATTTTTAACACTGATATGTTTTTTACCTGGGGAGATGAGAAGGTCCAAATTTTCCTGCCATGCCCAGGTAACAAAGCCTTATGATGTGGTGTCCGAAATGAAGTGGAGGGATCACTTCACTTGTCCTTCCTGGTCCTATCCCATTTTCTTCTCCATTTGACACAGTCTTCTTTTTCTTCTGACACTGTCTTCTCTCCTCCTTGACTCCTTCTGCTCCTTTACCTTTCTTCTACTTTCTGCTTATTTTGCGCCCTTCTGCTCCTTTTTTTTTTCTGATCCCTTTCTGCTCCTTTCAGACCCTTCCTTCTCTTTGCAGGCCCTTCCTGCTTCTTGCTGACCCTCCCTGCTTGTTGCAGGCCCTTCCTGCTCCTTGCAGACCCTTCCTGCTCATTTCTGTTCCTTTTCCTGCTTTACCTTTGTGCTCCTTCTGCCCCTTACAGATAATTGTTGCCCATTTCTGCTCCTTGATTTCCCTTTCTGCTCATTTCTGCTCATTGCTGCCCCTTCCTGCCCCTTGCTGCCCCTTTCTGTTCCATGTAGTCCCTTTCTGTTCCTTCTCCTACTTTACCTTTATGCTACTTCTAATGCTTTCTGCTTCTTGCTGCCCCTTCTTTCTTCTTGCTGACCCTTCCTGCTCCTTGCAGACCCTTCCTGCTCCTTGCAGACCCTATCTGCTCCTTGCAGACCCTTCCTACTCCTTGCAGATTCTTTCTACTCCTTGCAGATTCTTCCTACTCCTTGCTGACCCCTTCTGCTCCTTGCTGTCCCCTCCTGCTCCTTGCTGCCCCTTCCTACTCATCGCTGACCCCTCCTGCCCCTTGCAGACCCTTTCTACTCCTTGCTGATCCCTCCTGCTCCTTGCTGACCCCTCATGCCCCTTGCAGACCCTTTCTATTCCTTGATGACCCCTCCTGCTCCTTGCTGCCCCTTCCTGCTCATTTTTGCTCCTTCTACTTCATCCTCCTGCTCCTTGCAAACCTTTCCTACCCCTTCCTGCTTCTTGCTGATCCCCCCTGCCCCTTGCAGAACCTTTCTGCTCATTTCTGCTCCTTCTACTTTACCTTCCTGTAGGCTGTCTCCCCCCTCATCCCTCACTTACCTGATCTGTAGGTTGCCCCTCCCCCCCCCATGCTTGCTGGCTGCACTCTGTGCTGCTCCCCTGTGGATGCAGTCAGGAGAAAGGAGCAGGGATAACATGTAGCTTCCTATCCCGGCCTTTCTCCATTCACAGCGCCACCTACTGGCCAGCGCCGGTATTGAAGTTTATTATCACACAAACAAAAAATAGCAGCACAAGCTAAAAAATCCGGGGGCGAGGGGGCAAGTTTCTTTGTGTTGGCTTCTATTTTTTTTCTTTTCCTTTCCCTTCTGTATATTCAACTTCTTGTTCCTTCTGATATTCCTATTTTCTCCCATCTTTAATTTTTCTTTTGTCTTGTGAATCTACCCTTGAAATTCCTTTTGATTAAACTTGTTTCTCCACCCTCTCTTCAGATCTTTCATCCCTTTTTTCTTTTTCCTATTTTATCCCTTCCCTTGCCCTTTTATTCGTTTCTTTCTTCCTTCTCTCTTGCTTTCTTTCTCATCTCCCCTTTCCCTTCCTTTTCTGCTTTATATCACGCTTCTCAAGTAAGTGCTTTATTTTTTTAATCAGTTCTTGATTTTATCTGGCTGGTCAAACATCTCGACTATGCCATCAATTGCAATCATCATTTTAGCTGGAAAACTCAATCTGTATCTTATGTTATGCTTGTTAAGAATGTTGATTACTGATGCGAACCTTTTCCTTTTAATTCTCGTGTTATAGTATAGGTCAGGGAGGGCAATTACATTGGAGTATAAGCTTTCTTTTATGACTTTCCCTCGATTGGCTTTTAGAACTTTTTCTTTAAATTCATAAGAATGAAAACACACTATTATATCTCTACGTGCCTCAAAGGCTACATTGGAAGGTTTATTCAGCCTATGGCACCTGTCGATTTTTTCTTTTTTTTTTTTTGAATATTTAATCTTTATTTTGTATTTTTCTTTTTTTTTCTTATCCTTGTAAAATACATATATCATACAAATACATAAATCGTGCAAATTCACAATACATACAATACACAAACAACATAGCAGCAAAATAGGGGAGGGGAGAGAAAAATACATCAGGAAAAAATTTCCATAATTGAGTGGTAAAATCGTTTAAATAAATCTCATACTTATTTACAATGTTCATGGGATTCTCTACTACCAATTAATCAACATTATTCTCTACACCAATCATCTCTATACATTTTAACCAAACAGAAACCTTATTGCTCAATCTTTGTTTACTTAGCATCAACTCCATTTTAATCTGAAACTCGAGTTGAGTTTTAACTTTCTTCCAGGGGACTTCTAAGTCCTTTTTCCACCATCTCGCGATTACTATTTTAGCAGCTAAAAAAAGATGTATAAGAATTGCCTTTAACTCATATGTCATATGAGGCCAATTTAGATGTAACAAAACTACTTCTGGAGAAATTGTCAACTCGAGTTTTAAATTATTGGATATAAAATGTTGAATTTTCAACCAAAGATTCTTTAATTTATGGCAATCCCACCAAATATGTCTAAAATTGCCTCTAATACTATTACATCTCCAACAAATAGAGTTAGTTAGAGGATACATTTTGTTCAATTTAGCTGGTACTAAGTACCACCTATTTAAAACTTTAAAGTGAGTTTCTAATAGATTTAATGAATGTATATTTTTCTTAACATCCATCATTGAAGAACCCCATTGATTCAAATTAATATCAATGTTCAATTCTTGTTTCCAAACCTGTATGGCAGTAGGGTTTGTGTCTTTGGCCATTGATTTAATTAAAATCAGTGCTTTAGAGAGTGGTTTATTGATTTTTTTTGACGTAAATAATAAATCTATCAAATTACTTGAGTTGGATTTTGGTATTATAAGGTGTATATTCATATAACTTTTAAGTCTTAAAAAATTAAACATCTCTCTAGAAGGGAGATTATATTCCCCTGTTATTTGAGCAAAAGTTTTGATTGATCCTTCTATCAATAATTGGTTCAAAGTCTTTATCCCTTCTTTTTTCCAATTATTTAAATTTAAATCTTCCACTTGTTTTTCTACAATGTCTAACTCTAAGAAGCTTGGGACTTTTTTTTCTATATTCATTACTTTTTTAATTTT